GTTTTTTTTTTGGGGGGGGGGCTCTCTCTCCCCGGTATCGGACAAAAAAGTAATAATCTTACATTAGAATACTGTGTCAAACATGTCTGTGGGATGTCTTTGATGTGCTCGGAACGCGAAACCTTGACATGCTATTTGACCATGAACGCCATTGTGCTTAGAGCACAGAACTTCTGCTGATCGGCGTATTATGTTCCATTAATCCAAACACATATCAGCAAAAATTTATTACAAATTAATTGGCGTCAGAAGTGTTGTAAATCGCCAAATATCGCCAATTTACTGGGCGCCACTAAAGTAGCCAATCGCCAAGCTATCCATTTTAGTCGCCATTTGGCGCCACTTTGGCACAAAATCGCTGGCCGATCGGATTATCAACCAGTGTCAACAGAAAATGGGGCACTGGTCGGCGGGACAACTCTCAACCAGTTGAACATTTCCTTTAATCACAAAAATGAGCCTTTCTGGCGACGTTGCGTTATCAGGTCATGATGAATAGGCGTGTTCAGAGAACAGAACAGTGGGCAAGGCGTTTGATTTAATATTGAATTTGGACCTTGTGCTGCCACCTTGTGAACATAGATGATTGCCGTTAATCCAACGATCGGTTCTGCTTCTATTAAGAACACCAGGTATAAATAAGTTTCCCGTTAAACGGGGTTTTGAAAAGTAATGTAACAACATGATCTGAGTTATATGCCCACTCTAAGGAAACTGTCGAAAAAGTAAGGAAATGCTGCATAAAAAATCCAATATGGCGGCTGCAGCAAAATGGCGATTTATAATTTCCATAGTCCATATGGATATCAAATTAAAGGGCTTGATGAGGGAAATAAGCCAAAGTGACGTCATTCTAAATTAAATATGGCGGCTGCCGCTAAATGTCGATTTGTAATTTCCATGGTCACCGCTATGATACGGATATCAATTGAAATGGTATAATAATAAAACACAATAAGCCGAGAACGTCATTCTTAATTCTATATGGCGATCGCCGCAAAATGGATTTATCATTACCTATACAATTTATATCTATCGAACTTTTATAATACAAATGAAGTAACGAGTTTTATGAAGTCCTATTAATGAAATATATCAAAATTATATAGAATTTACCAAACTAGTTATTTGACATAATAAATACTAAAAAGTAAAAAATAAATATATGGAAATACATTTTTAAAAACAAGCTTTTATTTGGCTGTTATTAAAGTGAGCTAAATATTTAAAAATATTTTTTCCAGATTGGAAATATTAAAACAATAATGAAGGTTCATCTCAAATTTTACCACATTCATGTCGAAATTTCAAAAATCTTAATTTGCACTACAGCATCTATTAAACCCTGAATGGGCATTACAGCCGTAATCAACAAAGGAGTGAATTGCCATAAAGAGCGTTTCACAAAACTTACCACATGACTAACTGCAGAGAAAAGTACGATAGAGTGTGACACACTTGACTAGACAGCAATGCGATTAAAATCAGCATCGGATCGCCTGAACACTCGATAATGTCTACCTACCCACTTTACTTTTACTTTGTCGCAGCCATTAATACTAATTATTATTCGCACCGCACTGATTTCCTATCCATTACTTTTATTATCCTGCTTTTTACTTTCCGCGTCGATAGGCGGGAAACCTCCGTATCGTATTCATTTCAAGTTTTGAAATACTTCACCTCATGAAAATCTATTTAGAAGGCGTAAAGGTCTCACATACACTGGAGAAATTTTCTTTTTTTTCAATAATTACGAGGGGGTACCCGAAAAAACCGGAATTCGTTTTTAAAAGCTGTTTATTTTCAACTTTTTCACAAAGTAACTTTTTTTTTTTTTTATACTCCAACTACCACGAAGGCCTAAGGCCTAAGCACCCATTGGGTACCGTGGGGCTATGAGGGATACATGGGAAAGGGGGGACGCCACACGGACTCTGGCGAGGGAACACGTGTGCATGCAACATGCACACATTCTGGCTCCGCCTACGAGAACCGCCGGGTGGTACCTCCGCGTTCGACAGTCAGAGACCATCTACCACCTACGGACAATCACAACATCCATGGCCAAGAGAAACATTTCTCCTGGGAACTTTATCTCCTTCAAAATACTGTCCACTACAACTTGTCCCACCGGTACTTCCACTGCTCGAAACATTTTTTGATGTCTTCCTTAGAAATGTCTGACAGCTCCTCCCTCGTTTTCTTCTTGACCTCTTCAATGTCGTCAAAGCGGCGTCCTTTCATACCCCTTTCCATCCGTGGAAATAAGAAAAAGTCGCACGGAGCCAGGTCAGGCAAATAGGGTGCGTGAGGCAGCGGAACCATGTCATTTTTAGCCATAGCATAGCACTATCGTGGTGGAAGAACCAGTCTCCTGACTGCCACAAATCAGGTCTTTTTTTCCGAACACTGTTTCGCAATCGTCTTAAAACTTCCAAATACAACAAGCTCTCGAGTTTTTTTAACATTTTCGTCGATTCAAATAGCATCATCTTTGTAGGCTATTTTCAATATTAAGCAGCAGCATTTTTACCGATAAGAAAGCAAAATTTCACACCTGCACGCTGTTCACTAAAGCTTGCCATCGTAAAAAACGAAACAAGCCAGATCAACAACTTAGGTGGCACTGAACTGGTAATGAGTTGCGCTGTAAACTTCTAGGGGCAGAAATGTGTACTATACAAGCCCCGCCCACTGCAATGCTATTCCGGTTATTTTTGGGTATCTCCTCGTATACCTGTAATTATTAATTTCAGACATGTTACGTTGCCGCGGAATCGCGAAAAATTTCGAAAATGGGATATTGGGTTTTTTTGACATGATGCTTTCTTCACGAAAAACCAGGTCACTTATTTCCATCTGTCTATCTGTATGTCTGTCTGTCCGCCTATACCTTGTAAAGTACTCCTCGGATTCAGATGAAATTTTCACACAAGATTACTGTTATGCTAAGGACGAAAAAGCTTTATAAATTTTGAAATTCGGTGCAGTGACGGCGGAGGGAAAGGCCAAAAATGGAAAAAGTAAAAATCGACCAAACGACATTTTTGACATTTTTTGAAAAACATTTTAGGGGTAAGAAATGGGGATGGGGGTTTGTAGGGGGGAGGGTGTATCACAATTTTTTGATGTTAGCATATTAATATACGTCCAACCCTGGTAATTATATACACTTATTGCTGCCTTTGGGCAGCAGCGGTGGCCGCAGTAGTAGACTCTTCGGTCTCCTGATCAGTCGCCGTGCGCTGTGCGGGTTCGAATCCTGTCCCAGGAGAGATTTTTCTCTTGGCTATGGATGTTGTGATTGTCCGTAGGTGGTAGACGGTCTGACTGTCGAACGCGGAGGTACCACCCGGCGGATCTCGTAGGCGGAGCCAGAATGTGTGCATGTTGCATGCACACGTGTTCCCTCGCCAGAGTCCGTGTGGCGTCCCCCTTTCCCCTGTATCCCCCATAGCCCCACGGTACCCAATGGGTGTTTAGGCCTTACGCCTTCGTGGTAGTTGGAGTATAAAAAAACACCTGTTATACACAGCATATATTTCCCTTTGCATTTACCGTTAAAACAATTTAAAAATCTTTTCGACAGGCGTCTGCTGACTTTATCGGCGGATGTGCCGGTGTTCATATGTGTCCTCGTATCGGACTGGTACTCTGAGGGCGCTCCGTCGCGTGTGACGGGGAGAGCTGACGCGAGTTGCTAGGATGGACAGGGCAGAGAACGAATATAATGAACTAATTGTACGGACCTGTTTGGCAGACTTGATCCGCTTAATTTCTCTGTTATACATATTCGTAACTAACTTTTTTCGTCCGTCCGACTAAAGATAACCAACCACAGATAGCTATTTCGTGCTTTTTGACAGCATGGTCTAGGCTTGACGCATTTTTTTTTTGTTTCGTGCAAGGTTTTATTTAAGTTTTGTCAAATCAGTCTGAACTGAAAAAGGTCCTTACTATGTATTCATCGAAGTTGATATTTTAAAATGTAACCGTCTTGAGGTCCTAAAATCCTAAAAGTTTTAATATTCAATGGTTAGTGAGTCGGTAAAAAATTATTATTTTTGAGGTTGCTAAGAGCATAAACTGAAGTTGAAGCCTTTCTATACAAGTCCGCTAAGAATATATAAGGCTTATCTTTCCAGATAACCACATCTACTGCGGCTATGAAGATTCTCCAGTTTACCGCCTTTTTCAAATTTTGCCAGTACATTTCTCCTTTGATAACAATTACAAAATATATCATTGATCACGTAATTTGACAAGAATAGTTAGTTTTTGACTCTGTCAAATATTTCATAGTAACTACATTTCCTAGCCCTAAAATCAGTAAATCAATTTATCAAAGTAAAAAAGCAGTAGTTTTTAAACTATACTGCTTTTATTCTCCGTATAATACAACAACTAATGACTTTTTACTCTTTATAACCTATTATGGTGTATACTTATTTAATTTTTTATATATTGTTTCTATTATTTGTGTATAAGTATTTATCGTTATAAATAATTACTTTTGCTCTGAAAGAATAAATTTGAAAAATGTTCTTCGTTCAACTTAACATATAAGAAACATGTTTTTAGTTGATTTATATTTTTTTAATGTAGTTATTAAATGTAATTATACATTTGTGTGAACTTCAATATGTATAAATTATATTAAAACAAAATAAAATTGTATATTACTGGATTTTTTCTTGAAAAGACTATAACTATTTTTTCATATTAATTTATTTAAATAATTTTTCTTCTGCAAGATGGAACCATATTTGGTTTGAAACTCCTAAACTGCAGCACATCATTGTCGGTGGTTACGTGTGAACAAGACTGATTAATATTATAATTGATAATTTTTATCTAATTTCATTAAAAAACGTTGTACTTTGGAGTGGATCATTCAAAATATAACTTGAGTTTTGTGAATTACCTGGATCAAGATAAGAATCTAATACGGGTATTTATATATTTATGTCTACGCAGTGACTATATATAGTATGTGTCGAAAAGACATCATACTGTGTATTTAGTATCGAACTTCCATAAACATGAGCGTTAAGGTCTTTGTAATTGTAGCAACTTTTCTGGGAAAATCGTTTGGATTGCCTTTTGACTCCAACACATCTGCAATTGTTAGAACAGGTAACTTTGATTTAGCACACAATATTGGATCTAAAAAATGCAGTAATTGTACCAGTTTTATCATAACATCTCTTTTTTGTTTATTATGTGTTGACTGTTCTGACCATCGGTACAACCTATCTTCACAAAAATTATATTTCATTTTGGATGTCAGTTCAACCTTTATCATGGTGTAAACCAAAATACACAAGTTGATATGTAGATCAGCTGAACATTTGTTACAGAATTGCCTGATATACATAAACCTGTGACATTAGGGAGTACCCCTTATCTACCGTTACTGAAATTCAATGACACTGTTTACTATTATGGGGTAATTTTAGGGGTAAGTTTCACTATTGTATCATATTAGTTATGCTTATGATTTTTATAACTTTTTTCAACAAATACCTCTTTAAAGGGTACCGCGGCTCAAGTTGAACTTTTCTGTAGTTACCACAACATGCAGTTGGTTAGCATTCAGACCTTTGAAGAGAGTCAAAATTTAATTGCTGGACTGGAATCTTTCTGTAAGTACCGGAATCTAATCAATAATACGCATGTGTAATTGACAAAATATTAGTCAACGATTAGGTAATAGTTTCTTCAATAATATCCACACCACAGCTGAAACAGTAGTGATTCTCCATTGAGGTTTGGAAGTTAAGTACTGTCCAAGTAAAATCGCAACAGTGGGCTTTTGCAGTAGGTATTAGATTTACTGGAAAACCAATAAACATCGCAATAGTGCCACATGTACGATTAACCTTAGTCGGGCTCTGAAATACCGCTCTATTCATGTGCTATATGGTATCGTGCTTTCCGAACCACTTGTCATTGGCTACTGTCAGAGCTGTATTTGAAGCCACTAAAGATAGAAGTTGGACGAGGAAAGGTGTGGTTAAGGGTCGGAGACTGACAATAATAAATAGGTAAGATTTTAAGTATAATACACTACGTGAGAACATATACAAAATTTGGATGTACCTACAGTATAACTGAAAGGAGCAGTTCAGCTAAAGTATTTTCAAAATGATGGCACTTATACCAGTTATAACATAGGCAGATACCAAATTGCTTATTCCAAATAAAAGATCTTGCATATTTTTGATTCCATGCGAGTTTCTAAATCTGTACCGCAGAGCCAGACTAGGTTAAGTCCAAATAAGTAGTTTTAAGATAATTGTATTAGAAATATTTTCCTTGCATTTATTGTACGCGACACGAGTTTAAAAGCCGTAAATTCCATATCATTACAGATAGATGGATGCGGCATGTAAAATTAACAATATTATCACGATGAATTACGAGTTTTTTTCTCATATTTTCTCCTTTGCCTTATGGTCTGGAACGGGTTTCTTAGAGCATAGGGAGGGATTTTGATTCCGGATTTGGATAACAAATAGTACAAGGTGGTCAGAAAAAATTGAAGTATAGACTTTAAAAACTCAAAAACTATTTTCTCTTCATCATATTAAGCATTCAAAATGAGGTTAATTCTATATAAGGTTGTCTACTTCATAAATTAGGGTTTCCGAGATGTCTGGAAATATCCATACGGCTTTTATCATAGGATAATCGAAGTTTACGCGCCGATAGCGTGACATCCTTAGTAGTTCACCCGATTTTCCTCATGGTCAACTGGAATTATAGTAAATGCCATGTTGCCTAAAAACTACTGCAAAACGCAAAACATTTTTGTCTGAAAAGTTGTTATTCAAAAGGTTGAGTATAAACTCGTTACGTATAAAGTACCATGATTTCAGTGTACATGTTTTGGTTGGAATCGTATCTGACCTAATCTTTCAAGTGTTATCTACATAATACTACATAATTTGGCGCTTGTAATGCACTCAGATATTTACTGTCTTTAACTTCTTTGTATTACCTATAAAGTATCACGCACTATTTAAGTCAGTAGTCATGCTTGTCAGTCATACCAGTCTAGTAGTTTTAACGTCTCAGAAACATTTATCTGACTCTTATGAATAAACTAGATTTATTTGTTGCAAAAATGTGGGCTTTGTCCTCTTTGCCGGTCAACATTGGGCTACGAAAAGCTTAATTTAAATGCTTTTGAACCCTAAATATGGTTTACTGCTGATAGTATTAACACCTCCAACTGTAATGCTTTTTCTTGACATTTGGTCTCCTAAATCGACCAATTGCATTTTAGAACGGTTCTGGGACTTTTTTCTGTAGAACCCGGATAAGGCTATTATACTGTGAATTTTGTACCTTTCAACTTAGAGCAACGTTTCCCAAACATACATCCGTAGCTTCATCATGACTTGTTCATTTTTATATTCATATATTAGGATATAGATAACTTATTTTTCAAAAATATAACATGTTTTATGAAAAAAATTACAGTTTCATAGTTTATTTATTTTTGGGGTATACACAACGTTTGAGAATATGATAAAGAAGGGATTAGTACAGACATTGTGCACCCGCTTGATAATGTACCTGGCAAAAATCGTCATAGCTTTTTGATTACTTGCCATCTATTGTATGTTTTGGCACTTCATTCTGCACACATCTTTGTGTCATTTATCTACAATGTTCTGTAACGCATTAGTTCAGAACTTATTGTCAAGCATGAAGACCTAGTACCAATTCGTACTTAGAGAGTTGTTTCTCGTCTGTAGTTGATGTAGGTGTTTTGTTAGTTGGTTATCAGATAGTTATCAGTTTTGTTTATGTCTATGTTTTACCTATGTTTCGCGAGTTTTTGAGTTTTCGAGAAGATGAAAATGATGTTACAGGACCTTTCAGAGTTTTGAAGCAACACACTTTGTAGGAACATGTAAATGAAAGGTAAAAACAATCGAGGTGTCACCTGGAACACAAATAAATAAAATATATTGGCAAAACGTGTCGATTGAACCTGAAAAATTGAAACATATGTGGTTTTACATCGGCTACGGTTAAGTATTTGAAACAGTGAAAAGTTGAGAAAAATGTCATTCTAAGTACGAAGAAAATGAGCGATTTGTGACATTCTCATTTTTCTTTAACTTTGAAAATTTGGCTATCTCCAAATAAAACTCTTTTCAACTTTCCAGCTCATCATCAAAAAATGAATGAGATGATGAAACTACGGTTGTTGGATGTATGTTTACGTAGGAATAGTTAGGGGTTCTGTAGTTAAATCATATATTTTATTAATTGGCCACGCGGTACAACCAGGAAGAAGGATTTTTTATTTTGCCTTGTTTTAGTGCAAGTTACAGAGAACATGGTATTTTGGACATCAGGCAAAAAGTTTGGCAACAGCTGGAGATGGGAGTCTACTGGCCGACCGGCACATTACACAAATTGGGCTAAAGGAGAACCGAACAACTCTGGTGGAAATGAGACATGCATTGAAGTACTTTTCAACAGCGCCCTTAAGACGTTAGAGTGGAATGACAAAAATTGCGAAGCTGTTAACTATTTTATATGCGAAAGTAGAGACTAATAAATCCAACATTTTAACACTTTGAGTGCCATGTGAAGCAGCGTTTGTTTCACACTTTTCTAGATCTTGCATGTCGGCGTACAGCAAACTTCGCTTAGCTAAATATTTACTTGGAGCCCTGTGCTAATGAGCTTGTCGCACGCGGCCATACAATTTATATCACAGTATTAAATTATTATTATCACAAAATAGAAATGAGAAGAGTGCAATACTATAACCTCATCTGCCAAAGGAAAGGTTGTCTATGAACAAGTAACAAAATACGAAAAATGAAAACAAAATGCTCATAGCTATAAAGTGTTTTCACTATTACACCTATCATAAAACACTTTGAAGCTATTAAATGACGTAGCAATAACCAACCTGTCTGGTAGACTGTTTCAAGAGTTGAATACGCGATTGAGGAGATACCATTGACTTTCTAAACGGCTCCTTTTGCAGTTTAAAGCTGTCGCGGATATTGCTGCGCGGCAGTTGATGAGATTTCTGCCGCGCACAAGCAGTTTCCCGTACAGGACAAGCAAATTCAAGAATTGTCCCTACAAATGTTTTGTAAATGAAGGCCCAAGTGTTGACGTCAGATCCTAAGACCTCTCCATCATGTATAGAAGCTAGAATGTGTGGCATGAGGGTACTAACTATGTGTTTGGCCTGTTATCACGCAAGGAATTGATACTAGATCTAATAATTTTTGTTTTTCACCTATTGGTACAAGCCATATCATAGAAGTAAACCAAAGCTATATTCATGGTAGCACAATGTGTTCTAATGTTGAAGCCTTTTTCTGGACTTCCTTGCTACCCAAAATCTTAGCATTTTCTTATAGGATTTCAACGCCTTCTTTGTTTAGTCATTTGTAAAATGTGGTTATCTGGATAATTCATGGTAGCATTGTTAGCTTCGCTTTCATCCAGTTGATGAGCTCGTATAGTAACTCTTTGAATCCTGCAATACTTATTGTATTCTTTGTTACAGCAGAATATAATATATGAGCATTCACGGTCGTAGTAAGTACTTAAAAATATTTCAGTCGGCTAAGCAGTATCATGAAAACACTGGTCTGTTATTAAATAGCAAATATTACTTGACTGGCAATTTCCAGCGAGAAAAATATTTTCTATGTTAGAGAAAAAAAAATAAACGGCACTGTGAATAAGAGAACATCATCAGTAAAGAGCCGAAATACACGTCCACTCTTCGTTAATTCAGGATACGCGAGTCAAAGCAAATTAAGGAAAATGAAATCTATGCATAAATGGAGGGGGAGGGTTATTTAATTTTTTCTTATACATGTTCATGGCTAACCTTTTTCTCCGAATGGCTTACTTGTGTCGAACATAATCCTTTACTAACTGATGACAGCGTACAGAGTCAACTTACTTGACACCATTTTTTGAAAAGAACTACTTTGAATAATCACGCCTTAAATATCGAAATGCAACAATTCATGCCTGGTTGATGAATTCTTTACAATTTTTTTTTTTAGATACATCGCTTCTTCTGAATCAACCAAGAATTAATATGTGTGCGATCGAGCTCTAAACGACGACGGCGTTAGTTAAAAACTATTCACATGCTATGGCATAACATACCGTTGTAACAATTATAGCTTGTAGCGCGTATAAGTGGTTCACTTTTTCTTCTTCCTGCTCGCAACAATCGTATTCGTGTTTTCGTTTTCTTAAACTCGCTAAGTCGACGGTGTTGCAAGATGTTCAATGTTTTATTCAGTTTCGTCTAACTACTGTGTGGGTGCACAGACTGCATTTTTCTTATTCCATTCAATACTATACAGACAGCCATATCTGACCTGATCATGCTCTAAACAGATCAGATCAGTGGCATATTTCCTTTACTTCATAGCTGTCAATAACTAGTGCACCTTCTCTACAACATGGGGCTTGATTCTAAATGAGTTTCAACCATTGAAATTAATTTCAATGGCGCCTTGTGACGAAATACTTGATTCGCTATGAAAATTTGTACATCTGGTTACATCGATTTTCTATATTCAAAATTATCATCGCGAATCCAGAATATCAGCACAAGGCGCCATCGAAATGAATTTTAATGATCGAGACTCATTTAGAATCAGGCACCTGGTCTGCTCTAAGAAACGGTAACACAAAACACTAGAATATCTGTTAGAAAAAAGATTTACCACTCCCAGGTATGCTGGATGCTCGGGCATAAATGAAATATGATGGTTAATGGGTTGTGGTTCCCAGACGTTGACGAGTGGGTCAATATGGACCCCCCGGAAGGACGGTCCCGTCGCTCATCTGTTAGAAGCATTTGGGAGGGGGAACCATGCTCGGTTGGCTGTTTTACCCCCCTCCCCCTTTAGATTTATTTAGCTTCAAGCTACTTCAAACAGTAATAAATATTATTTACAAAAAATGTGTTAAATTTACAAAGTTGTCGTCACATCAAACCAAAATAGTCTGTCCGAAGTCTTTTTTCAAAAATTTTAGCATTACTAGTTGTGTTTGCAGATTACACTGATAGGCAGATTCTTGTATACTTTTAGACCTTTAACAGACATTGACTTTTCTAAACCTTTAGGTTTAAATCTTTGTAGATATATGATCGCCTTCGACCCGTGAATTGTCGGTTTTTCGGACACACATCAAAGGGAATCGCTGGATCATATTGATTCTTGCCGTTTGACAAACTACTACGGACGCCCTTGTGGATGCTTGTACGATGATCGGCTCTGATCGCCTTCGACCCGTGAATTGTCGGTTTTTCGGACACACATCAAAGGGAATCGCGGGATCATATTGATTCTTGCCGTTTGACAAACTACTACGGACGCCCTTGTGGATGCTTGTACGATGATCGGCTCTATTATGAACGATCACACGATCAACGATCATCGCCAATAGTGAAGTGCAGGCATAACCTTTGGTTTTCCTCGGTTGAGCATGTAATCAAAGGTGATGCAAAACAAGTGATATGTGGAACAATTATTGTATTGTAGATTACCCTTCTGCATCATGGGCTTAGATTGTCACAAATTCTACGAAAATACCTAATCTTTTTGCCTAATTTCCGACACATAAAGTCAATATGATTCGGCCAAATATTGGAGTCCTGGGAGCAGTGGTTATCCTTGCAGCTTAAAAAATGTTTTGAAAAAATGTAGGTCATGTAAAAACAGCAAATGGTACTCGGAACACCAGTAATAGGTTATCATAATAACAGTCTTGTTATTTCTTGCCTCAAAACCAAAAAATAACATTTTTTATATTTGCGAAAACTGACCGAAAAGATGACAGCTATACACTTTTGAAGTACCGAGTCACTAATTTTGGTGTGACTGGTTGGAAACGAGTTGCGAACTTGAGGAGTAGGTCCGGAGCAGTATCAGATCCATCCTTTTCCACACTAAGTAGTTTTTTGCGGTTTATATTATGAGTATGCCTACTTATATGTCTGTTTAATTGTAGCTAACTGCTTAAAACTGATTTTTTGGCACATTTTTGAGAAATGCGATGGATATTTAAGGAGCTGGTTAATTAAAGGCGAGGGACATCAGGCAACCGGGAAAGCAATTTCCCACTGTCGGATGCTTCTTTTTGTGTCACATATATGAATAATACATTAATAATATGTGTCTAACAGGTGCGTATAGTTGGCGAGCCAGTGCTTTAATTTATTTAACTAACAAGTCAAATTGATGAAATGACATCAACATCCACCAAACAGACTGACGCAAATATACTAAGTGACATATAAATCCGAACACCCAGTTTAAATGGTTTTATTTTAATAAAAGTTGGTGAATGTATTTATCTTACTGTAAATAACAAGTGAAAAAATTTTCAACCTTATCAGTTGGACATTCCGGTTTTTATACTGCTTTTTTTTTAATTCACTAACGCTCTAAAAATGAATATTTCAGCCGCAGTAAAGAATCAACGTTGGCGGATTTTGGTTCTTGACATCCTTTACGATCTGTTACGATGCCTAGAGTACGGAGACCTGTACGATTTCGTCAACTTAGTGAGTTTGATAGGGGCCGTATAGTGGGACTTCGGGAAGCTGGACTTTCTTTTCGGGCAAGTGCACTTAGAGTGCAAAGAAGTGTAGACACTGTGGTTAGGTGTTGTCAGGCATGGCTTCGAGAAGATTATTGGCCTTAAGGGACCGTTTCTACACTACCAGGTCCATTGCAAATGAATGGTTTGCAGAACACGGAAGACCTATTGGCATGCGAAGTGTTTACCGACGAATGAGAAGTTTTGGCTTGTTTTCATAGCGGCCACACTGGGTCTCCCTTTAACTCGAGAACACCGACGTAATCGCCTTGAGTGGTGCAGACAACGGTCACCTTGGGATCAGAAATGGAACAGTATTGTCTTTAGTGACGAGTCTCGATTTTGTTTAGGCATGCACGATGGTCGTGCCTGGGTTAGAAGGCGACGTGGTGAAAGGAGGAATCCACAGTTTTTTGTTGAAAGACATGTTGCTCACACTGTTGGAGTTATGGTTTGGGGTGCTATAGCTTATGGTTCCAGGTCACCTTTAATCTTCATCAGAGGTAACATGAACGCACAGCGTTATATCCACGAAGTTCTAGAACTCCATCTTTTACCCTATCTTGACACCCTGGCAGATCCAACTTTCCAACAAGATAATGCCCGACCACATGTTGCAATAGACACAATAGACTTCTTTCAACATAATGATGTCACATTGTTACGATGGCCACCAAGATCTCCCGACTTATCCCCAATTGAGCACGTGTGGGATATGATGGGTAGGAGATTGCTCAATTTGCAACGTCCTTCTCAGACTCTAGAAGCACTTGGAGAGGAGTTGGTGGTTGCCTGGAATCAGATACCACAGGAGGACATTGACCACCTGATCAGAAGCATGCCTAGGCGCGTTGGAGAATGCGTAGCACATCAGGGTGCATCCACACTTTATTAAAGGTCAAAGGGCTTTAAGGCAGTGCAATCATTTTGAAATTTTTATCATTTACTTATTATGCTTCATTGAGTACTTATACAAAATTTTATTAAAATAAACCGTTTAAACTGGTGTTCGGATTTATATGTCACTTAGTATATTTCGAACAATATTTGATGTATTAACAGTGAAAATTGGTATACAAGGGTTTTTTGGTACGACAAAACGAACCATGGGCATAGTTTTACTGTAGCCGCTAGAGGGCGCTCTCTACTGTACCTGTAGTGTATAGTATAAAAAAGAAGTGGTTTGCTGCAAAGGTAATACATTCTGAGCTGATTCTCTATTTCCTCAATTCAGTTAGAACTAATGAATAACATAATAAATAATCCACAAATATAACCCATATAATACAATCGAAATAAGATAGCGCAAAGAGCCGTCTGTCACCAGAATCGACCACTGCTTGAGTGAAAACAGCTAACTGTCTGTTAGAACTGCATCCCAATTCTAGATGCCGCCGATTTTCATGCTATAGTAGATAAGGTTTACCCGCCATTTAACAAACTACTAATATAACTTTCGTATGTTAGATCATCGTCAACCATGGAGAGATGTTTCGTTCTATTCGACGAATCCCCAGCTGTCTATCGTTGGCCGAAATCTGTATTACTAGTCCATATAATATAGTATATTGAGCACCAATAGTAATTTGGGTACGGATTGCACATGCAGTTGCATTACTAAGCTATTTTTTTTATTACTATAAAGTTATATTATAAATAATCTTGCATTCCCATTATTCTGATAATAAACGGTAAAGCTCTGGGCTTTTATTAGTGACAAAGTCCACGACTAGACCTTAGCAGCGCGAGGTGAGGTGTCAGAGTCAGATGTCGGGCCAGTCACTCCAGTCAGTAGTACTCGACAGTACTGTTCTTGTGCTCGAAGAGGACGGTTCACGGTTCGGTACGATTTGCTCGCGCTGAAGCATTAGTAGCAGTTCAGTGTTTCTACCTGGATGATATTGTGGCTTTGTGTGATGTGCTTGCAGTGTCATCGGATTATCATTCATTGCCAGCCCAGGCAAAGGGATTTTGTTGCATACTGTGATTGAAATTACCGTAAAGATGGTTCCAGTGAAATGCTTCAGTGGCTAAAATAAAAATACATACTCTTCAGAAATGTTTGCGGGGTATCCAATATTTGTAAGTGGCTAACAAATCTCTACCGGATATAGAGGGGTGAAAATTTGTTTCTTTATGGTTACCACGCCACCACGACTGATTCTGCAATACTATAAAGCCCAGCGGTAAGTGTGAACGTAAACATGGCTCGAGGCTTTAACCGAGTACCTACGAAGTTTCTAGATTATTGATTTATAAAGTATCTGCGAAGGGAATGATAGACTGAAATACGAAAATACCTAAAAAAATTACTATCTAGCGCAATATCTACTAGTAACACCGGACTCCATCCAACTGTCTGTTCGTCAATAACAGAAAGTATCTACGTTAGGATAGAGGAATACATCCATCATACAATGGAAGTGCCTAATCCAGGCACAACGGCTGGTTGAACTTTCTTTCAAAACCCCACTGTAGAGAACGAATAAGTTGATGACAAGTCCAGAAACAAATACAACGAAGCGATTCGCATTGCCAAATACCGGTACGCTGTGAAAATTAAGCACAGGGTATTATCGCAGCGCAACAAATAGCAGATTGGAGGGAACTTCTCAAAGAGAAGCCTTCTGCCGATTACCTAGGATGGAACGATTGTAACCTACCCAAAGCCTAAGGCGCAAGTGCTTAACAAGATGTTTTCTACCAACTCCCAACACTTGCGGGAAATAAAATTCAGGCATAAGACCGTGAGACGGGTGCTCTTGTCGCTATCAACAAAACTTCTGTTAACTGGAAATTTGTTATGTCCAGGTCATCCTAAAAAAGGATCTAAGACAAACCCTTACAACTACAGGTCTGTAGCTCTGCTTTCTGTTAAGATGATGGAGGGGAGCATAGACCGGCAGTTTCTGGAGTACTTCGAACGTCTCTGCTTGCCATCTAGTATGGTTTCTGGCACCAGCGATCCACAGGGGACCTTCTCGCTGACATCACGCAACAAAGGAGTAAACTCCAGTGTTGCTCTTGATTACACGAACGCCTTCGGTCAGCTGTGGCATGCTGCCCTCTCATGCAAACTTCTTTCCCAGAGAAGCTTTGCAGATGGGTGGCTGACTTCCTCTCTGGTTGCAAGATATCTATCGTAATTGATTGGTTTTCCTCTTCACCCACTTTTGGAAAATATTTTAATTGTTCTTAAATTCGTTGACCAAGATAATGTCCATTTGTTTCTCCCTCAATAAGCGATATTTTTGCAAAACTTGTGAGTACGAAACCTTCGGCCTATTTTGGGCCGATAGCGGATTATTGGCTGAAAGTGTATTTTTTGAGTGACGCCAAGGTCGAAGCTCCTGTCGAATTCTATTAATAAATCATATTTACATAGATTATGAGAATATAATCTTCGGAGTAACTGAATGTCATTTAGTCGAGCATCAGATGTATCATATCCAATTTGAATATTACCCATACGTTTAGAGAGCTGCTCTTTAAAACACATTACTCTAATTAATACATGCCTCCCGCATGTTATAGAAACCAATTATTTAGTGTGACGTGGACCAAAATAAACGTCAGCTGTAGGCATAATACTAATAAATCACTTTTTCTCCGAACGTTCGAACACGAACGGCTGTTCCCAGAGTTCAATGCAGTTCATCTTGCAGGGTAGCAAAATCGTTTTCATGTCTTTGCCACTGTTTGTTCTTGTCAAGTGTGAATTTCGTTACGGAAAATACTAGAAATTGTAAAACATGTGCATACCGTTCGTGTCAACACGTTTGAGCTTGTTTGCATGCAGGTTTGGTCCTGCTTTTACAAAGAAAACTTGCCTTGATATGACCCGTAGGACTAGCGCATAAATGTTTTGAAGAATATGTGATAAATATTACAATAAGTGTATTGGTACAAAAACCGACCGCCCGTCATTGAGAGTCCGAGGACCGTAAGTAAACGACAAACTCATGAACGGGATTGGTCTGACATGCCCACATGTAAATTAGCGTCTTCCGGTTCGCTTTGGATCAGGAAGTAGGACACTAATGTGTAAAGACAAATGGCGTCTAGTAAGTCGACTCTGTACTTCCCACGCATCGCTGTCATCTATTCGTAAATGATTATGTTAGGCACAAGTTAGCTCTTCTGACAAAAAAATTAGCTACGAACATGCATAACAAAAAATTAAAATAACTCTCCCTGAGTGAAATTTCTGCGGATGCATAGATCATTGCCATGATTAATCCCGCGTGGAGGACAATATTGACTTACACGGCATACAGTTCACAATAGCCGGACCACAGCGCACGTATCGACACGCGGCTGTTGAGAAACTTTTAAGGCTAAATGTACGGGGGCTTCTATGACGAGTGAATAGGTGCGTAAAATTACTGCTCCATGTAACCCCTAACCCCCAATTTTTAACCCTTACAAAAAAATTTATCCGCCACCACTGGACCTATTTTCAAAAACTACACAGCTTTTTCGTCTCTGGCGTAGTAGTCACTTTCCAAGTTCCAAGTATACCCACCCCTATTTCACGAGTATCCATCACGCTTTGACGTCTACTCAACAAGTGGCAGTATTAGTCTGCACTGTTGGCAATAATTAATAGGGTGTAAATCTAGTAAAACTTGTTTGTAGCGTTTTATTTTTTGTATGCAAATGAACTTTCTAAAAAAAAACAATATGGCTCTGACTACTTGGCATTGACGGATACGTCAGAATTACGTGTCCTTTGCGGATATGGGGATTTTTGAAATATTACTAATCAGCTGTCATTGATTAGCGGACAGACAGGCAGACCGACGGAAGTGAGTGACTTTGTTTTTCGTGATGTCATATAACATCCAAAAAACATAATATCTGATTTTTTATATTTTTCGCGATTACGCTCGTCGGCAGTCATGGAAAGTAACAATATTCGAATTAAAAGGGTCCTATAGAACACCCAGGTTGATCACATGCATTGATAACCTCCATGTGCATCGTCAAAGTGCTATAGTATGATATATTGTCTATAGGCCTATAATTCGATTTGCCTTTGGAACTTAGCAAACTCCCAGTTCCCTGAGAAGATGCTGGAGTTGCAAGACGCCTCAAAGAGACATGGTGGGATTCTTTCGGACTAAAAACTCCTCGTATCGGGCGTAGAAGCTTTCTTGGTATCGAGCACTTACGTGACCTGTTTGACAATCACATTCAGTTGTGTAATTGCTAGAAAATTGTCTATATGTCACCGCACAAGCATCCTCAGCAGGTGTAGAGAAATGTGTTTCTTCTTTTGCCTTAATACAAAGTAAGCTAAGCAATAGACTGGATACTGACAAGACATCGAAATTACTTTCTTAAAATATTTTAATTTTAATTTCTCTATTAAATTTTAACTTGTCGAAGTTAGTAGTTAGTAGTACTTTATGTTTATTCCTTTCTCATTCTCATATATGAATAAAATAAAAAGTTGTACAATATGTTTGGATTGTTATGTAAATGTGTTTAGTTTCTTTTAGACATCTTTTTTGCCACATTACAGAACCTCATTTCCAGTCATCAATCAATCCACCTGCACCTGCACATATATTTTTTGACGAATGATCAAAATAAAAGCAAATTGTTTAAACCAAATAGATCTCGTTTAAACAAAAAAAAACTGCTCTAAGCAAAAAACCTAGTGTTTTGGATTTTTCAAACACTGCTTTTACATGGAGCTTAAATGAAACAAAGTATTTGCCCATGTCACCTGGAGAGTTTTCTCTGAGAAATATTATCGATATAATCTAATTAAAATTTATTAAAGAGAAATCAATAAAGGCCGACCAACAATAATTACCGTACAACAGTCTGGTCTGGCCTTTATTGTATGTTCATAAACCGTCCGATTTACGATTGCGCTTGCAACAGGGCTCAATTACTTAATAAATTACTATTGGCAAAAGCTTCGTTATCTGGCAGCAGTATTGTCGCTGCTATAAAAGTGTAGTGAATTATTTTTTGGTCATTTATTCCTATGGAAATAAAGATTATCATCATTACAGATGTTGCTCGACAAATAGAGAGATGCGTAGAGAGGTCACTGAATCTGTGCACCCACAATAAAGCATGATCGGGTTAAATTTGGCAGTTGATTTTGTTGTAAACTGTTGCCTTAACAGCACATAGAATACCACACAGCAACAAAAGATCTTACGCTGAACTGTTGGGCGAATTTGATTTCTATGGCCATGAGAGCTGGGCACAGGCTCCATGAAGATGCCGTGCATTATTGTCTTGCTTAACTGACACTGTGTGATTATACGCGGGGTACAAGTTTCACGTAGTCCGTGCTCCTTGGCAGCCGAAGTGAATGTGCAATGTCGGGATGTCGTGCACAATAAAATGGCTGCGCATTATGAAATGCGCAAATACCTCATCAGTTTGAGAAACGATCATTTACCTACCGGTGCTCACCTCAATGTACGAGGTATGTGAATTACGTGATGAGACTGGCAACGTAGCGTTCAATCTGGCAATACTGGACGCACCGGGTTTGGAAGGCAGATAGGGGAAACATGTAATCCGCATTCGGTATAAGTTGGAAGTCGCTCGAATTATTAGGTTGTCCGTAGGGATGTTTTTTTGTAAAACATTTTTTTCTATTGTGTTCTAAAAATGAGTGACATCAATTTAAACGGTGTGCTTCAGGTTTTGCTTCAGTCTTAGGCACAGTGCAACAGAAATTCTTTGCTAAACTTCAGCATGGCTTCGGAGATAGTGTATTGTTAAGAGCCTGGGTTTCCGTTGGCTTAAGGCATTTTTAGAACAGAAGGGAGAGAATCGATTGAAAAAGAACCACGAAACGAAAGGCCTTTATCTTCAAGAACCGATGAAAGTATCTACAGTATTCGGGATCTTGTGTTTTCATATAGTCGTTGACAGAATGATCTGGGAAGAGTTAAATTTGATTCCCATCAAGAGCAACTGAACTGACAAAAAATTTAGATACCTTGAACATACTCTCAGATTCGTACATCGAAAAGTAAATAACTAAACTAAATACAGAAGTTCTAATTTACTTTACTATTATTATGTCGAGATAACGATGCGCGCTTTCTGTAAAATCTGAAATTGAGTAACTCCGAAGCCCTAATTATTGCTAAATCACAATTGGCATCTGTTGTTCCCGTTTACCTGCATATAAATTGCATTATAAACA